AACCAAAAAAGAATCCCCCTCGTCCTCACGTACCACCCCACCAACCTCCGGATCCAACGCATCATCCTCCGACACTTCCGCCATCTGCAATCCGACCCCACCACCAAAGACATCTTTCCCTCCCCACCTTTATCTGCTTTCCGGAGGGACAACTCTCTCCGTGACTCCCTTGTCCGCTCCACACTCCCCTCCAGCTCCACCACACCCGGCACTTTTCCCTGCAACCGCAGGAAGTGCTACACCTGCCCCCATACCTCCTCCCTCACCCCCATCCCAGGCCCCAAGAAGACTTTCCACATCAAGCAGATGTTCACCTGCACATCTGCCAATGTGGTATACTGCATCCGCTGTACCCGGTGTGGCTTCCTCTACATCGGGGAAACCAAGCGGAGACTCGGGGACCGCTTTGCAGAACACCTACGCTCGGTTCGCAACAAACAACTGCACCTCCCAGTCGCGAACCATTTCAACTCCCCCTCCCATTCCTCAGACGACATGTCCATCCTGGGCCTCCTGCAGTGCCACAACGATGCCACCCAAAGGTTGCAGGAACAGCAACTCATATTCCGCTTGGGAACCCTGCAGCCCAATGGTATCAATGTGGATTTCACAAGTTTCAAAATCTCCCCTCCCCCCACCGCATCCCAAAACCAGTCCAACTCGTCCCTGCCTCCCTAACCTGTTCTTCCTCCCACCTATCCCCTCCTCCCACCTCAAGCCGCACCTCCATCTCCTACCGACCAACCTCATCCCGCCCCCTTGACCTGTCCGTCCTCCCTGGACTGACCTATCCCCTTCCTAACTCCCTACCTACACTCACCTTTCCTGGCCCCATCCCCGCCTCTTCGACCTGTTTGTTTCCTCTCCACCTATCCTCTCCTCTATCCCTCTTCTATCTGCCTCCCACTCTCTCCCTATTCATTTCAAAACCCCCTTCCCCTCCCCCTTTTCTGATGAAGGGTCTAGGCCCGAAACGTCAGCCTCTCTGCTCCTATGATGCTGCTTGGCCTGCGGTGTTCATCCAGCCCTGCACCTTGTTGTCTCGGATTCTCCAGCATCTGCAGTTCCTACTATCTCTAGGGGGGTGCAGCTAGTTCTGGAGCACAAGTCTTCAGCACAATCTGCAAATGATCTTTCTTGTTTATACGTTTTCTCTTTTTTTTAGGTGAAATCTCACTGCAAAATAGTAAGAGGTTAGTTTGAGTATCCTGCTCTTCCTCTGACTTCCAGAGCACCCCTTAGCCAACATTTCTGGTTCCTGCTTGACACCTTTCATTTCCCAGTGATGTAGCCAAGAAACTTGCTGTACAGAAAACTAAAGACACAAACCATCACACTACTACTTCATTGCATCATCTTATGCTCTTGTAACATTGTTAGCGATTCATTCTATTGAGGATCTAAACTGAACTAGAATATGGTCTAGGTCCTCTCAAGCAAATAAGGAAGTTCTGCTGCTAGGGAGATGGGCAATAACAGTTTGCAACTCGATCCAATCATTAGAACAGTTCCTTCTGCCAATACTCACTGAAGCAAAGACTTTGCTAATTGCAGCTTCAATCTGGAATTCACTTGCTCCTGCATCCATATTACCACTGACTGCATAAGCCATCGACTGTAGAAATATACATGAGCTTTAGTAAGAAAAGTATTATGCTATGCATTATTTCACATTTCGTCCTTTTACTTATGTAAATATCTATAACAATGGGACTCAATACTCCAGCTGAGCCCAAAGCAAAATCTTTTTAAAACCAAATTAATTCAGTGGGTTGAATTCAAATTTCATCTAGAATGCTATACAAATGGAGACAAAAGATACAAGGGCTAAATTGACACCTAATACACAAATGCTATGCATCCTAACACATAAGATTGCGAGGATTCTTTGCGGCTTTGTGGCGTGGTATTACAGAGATCACAATTGTAAAACAACTTTTCTCCTGCATGTAAGAACATGCAGTTCTTGATTTATTCAATCTTTTAAATTTATTCTAAAAGAAATGTGTTTTGCAGTGTACCTTTGCAGTGCAGCAGATTAGCAACTGGCAAACTTCTGAAATTACCAAGGAGACACTTGGTAACTTATTGGATCTTGAAAGGAAACTAAAGGTTGTTTCACAAGAAAGTTATTACAATCTTCACTTTATTCCCAGCAAATCAAACAGTTGTATAATTGGAAGGCAAATAAATCCTAGGCCAGATAAGATGCATCTCAGCATTTTTAAGGAAATAATGAAAGAATACAGAAAATGAGGGAGGTCTTGCCAATCAAGCTTAGCTTGCTTTGAAGGTATGATAAAAGGGGTTTGGTAGGAATATGATAGGAGTTTAGATTTACTTGGATTTCAGACTGCTTCAGAAATAAACCGTAGGATTTAATGCTCCACCAGAATCCCACCCCCCCTCCACCCCCCACCAATGCTTCCCCTCATGCGGAAAGCCTGGAAAACAAGGGGTTGGGGATAGGATCAAACATTCAAAAGCATTCAATGCCTGATTAAGAAACCCAACATTAGGAGGAGAGATCTCACTGAGAGTCATCCCTTCATCTCTGACTTCCCTGACTTCCATCTCCAAGACCCCATCCCACAAACCTAAAGTTCCCCTCATTTTCCTTTCACCCTGGAGTCCTTCCTGAACTCTGTTGTTTAGTAGGTACATTGCCTGTAGCTGCCACTACTCCTAGTGATACTGATGGGCAAAAAGAACTGCAGGCCATTAATTGGCAACAGGCCTTAAATGTTAACTTTTCCTTTCTCTGCAGATTTTGCCTGACTAACTGAGTATTTCCAGCATTTTCCCTCTTCCTTTCAAATTTTCAGCATTCACAGTTCTCAGTTTATGTGATAGATTTTGTTGGTTATCTTATAAAACTCATTGTACAGGGATTATCATCAGTCTGGCATTACGTTACTGATAAGTCCCACTTCTTTTGTTTAATGTTCTTACGCATGTTCTAGATCTAGCAGTCTTCGACTCAATACCTAAATTTGCAAATGAAAGAAAGCTAATATAGATGGTAATGCTACATCTAAACAGGCTGAGCTACAGCAACATTTGAATATTCATGGGAATTGATCAAATATATGGAAGATCAAATTTAATAGAGAGAAAATCACGAGGACAAGGAATTGGAAAGAAATGGAAAGAAAACAGTGTATGTGTGTGATAACCCCTACGTGGCCCAGGGAAACCACTAATTAATATTCCTGTAGAGCTCATTGAGTATGAGTTCCCTTGGTAACAAGCAATAGCCTGCCAGCTAGAATTAATTGCCTAAGTCTTTCACAAAGTAGATCAGGACCCTCCTGTGGTGCAGAGGTAATGCCCTTACCCCTGAACTGAGAGACCTGCACTGAAATCCCTCCTGCTCTAGAGGGTGTAATAATATCTCTCAATAGGTTGATAAGGGAAATAGGTTAAATATTTAAAAAAGCAGATGCAGAAATAGGTCTGCAGAATTGTCTTTCCAGGGCTGGGACTAGCCTATGTATGTTATGAGCAGTGCCTCTATTTTTGTATTCAAGAATTAATAATGTTCCTTTCACAAGAACACAAGAACACAAGAACTAGGAGCAGGAGTAGGCCGTCTGGCCCTTCGAGCCTGCTCCGCCATTCAATAAGATCATGGCTGATCCTTTCGTGGACTCAGATCCACTTACCCATGTTCTCACCGTATCCCTTAATTCCTCTATTGTTCAAAAAAAATCTACCTTTTTTTTAAAAGTGTTTACTGAAGCAGCGTCAACTACTTCACTGGGCAAGGAATTCCATGGATTAACAACCCTCTGGGTGAAGAAATTCCTTCTCAGTTCAGTCCTAAATCTGCTCCCTCTAATCTTGAGGCTATGCCCTCTTGTCCTAGCTTCACCTGCTAGTGGAAACATCCTCTCTACTTCTATCTTATCTATTCCCTTCATAATTTTATATGTTTCTATAAGATCCCCACTCAATCTTCTGAATTCCAATGAATATAATCCCAATCTACTCAGTCTCTCCTCATAAGCCAACACCCTCAACTCTGGAATCAACCTAATGAACCTCCTTTGCACCCCATCCAGTGCCAGTACATCCTTTCTCAAGTAAGGAGACCAAAACTGCACGCAGTACTCTAGGTGTGGCCTCACCAGCACCTTGTACAGCTGCAACATAACCTCTCTGCTTTTAATCTCAATCCCTTTAGCAATGAAGGACAAAATTCCATTTGCCTTCCTAATTACTTGTTGTACCTACAGACCTTCCTTCTGTGATTCATGCACAAGGACACCCAGGTCCCTCTGCAAAGCAGCATGCCGCAACTTTTTACCATTCAAGTAATAATCCTTTTTACTATTACTCCTACCAAAATGTTTCCAATTGGGTTTCCTGAGTTATTACAATGTGGTAAACAGACAGATCTAGAATCCTCACTGACAATAGTTGCGGCTCTTGTGACAATGTTTGGTGATGAGAAAAACAAATCAGATGATATCATGTATCAGAAATATATTGTATATTCTGAAGCAAGCCAGCAGAATGCTGGAGAAACTCAGCAGGTCTGGCAGCATCTGTGGAAGAGAAACAGTTGATGTTTCAAGTCTGGAATGACATCCTCAGAACCAGAAATAAACATGATGCTGCTTGGCCTGCTGTGTTCATCCAGCCCTGCACCTTGTTGTCATGTATTCTGTACTGTGCACAGGTCATGTCACCAGAGTATGAAAAGGATATTGCAGCTATTGGAGAGAGCGACCAGAATGATTAAGACAATAAAGGGTTTGGATTATGTGGAACAATTATGTAAACAAAGCATTGTTTCTCTGAAGAAAAATTGAGAGATGACATGATTGTTCTTTTTATAACTTGAAAGGAACTAGATAGTGTAAACCATGAAAAACTGCTTCACCTTTTTCAAGTAGAGTTAGTGAATACAACCTGCAGTTCAAACGACTACATTAAAAACCAATTTGCTCAAATTGTATTTTAATGAAATGAATGATCAATTTGGAAAGCAAGTTCCCTAGATAGATAGTAGTACCAGGATTGATTCATTTAAATGAAAACTAGATTGATTCTTTCAGAACATGCTAATTTGGCATTTACTATGACTAATTTGATACAGTGACATATCTATGTGTTGCTTGCTTGGAATGATAAATGACTTATGGTTTTCAAAGCTCTGCACAATGGAAATTTTACTTGTACTTCATTTTGAGTCCTACCAGACTAACTGAGGTTAATTACTATAATTAATTAACAACTTCATTATCATGTTAAGTGGCTACCAGGATGGTATACAGCAAACTAGGTGGGCCTTCTTCTTTTCCTGTCAAGTTATTCATATGCTCATATTATATTTGTGACACTTTTCAGGATAAAATCACAAAATAACAAGACAAAACATGCTCCAACTTTCTGACTTTAATACCAGGTATGACTATTGCTATTCCGATTCAGATCTGCTAATGCAACAGAGTTGGCAATTAAACATGGGACTTTCCTGTCTGGATGACTCATTTATACACAATCAGGAAGTGGCGAGAGAAAATTTGTTCTGGAATTTGTACCTCTGTTACATACTGTAGCATAGCCATATTAGCGATTTTCTCTTGAATGAGGCCATATGTGTGAATCTTGCTGCCAAATTGTGTTCGATTGGTGGCATGGTCAACCTATTGAAACAGTTACAAAAGAAAATGTAAAGGATATTGGATAAGCACGATGAACACTGAAGTTAAAAAGAAACAACATTTTGAGTGGAGTTTATTATTCTAGTTTCAGTTCAAATCAAACTTGATGATTCTACTCTTTTGCAGTTTTTGTTTAATATAGAATATAAAAAAAAATTCCAGTAATTGCTATAAATCAAGAGGTTGTAGAGAGAAAGGAACCTAGCAATATTGCAATCATGAGGGAAATGATAATAAGCAAACTGATGGAGCTGTAACAAAAATCAAGTGCTGGAGAAACTCAAAAGATCCGACAGCACCTGTGGAGAGGGACAAACAAAAATTAACACTTAAGTCCTGTGACTCTGTCAGAACTGAAAACCAGCTGGGAAATGGTGGTATTTATGCTGATAACAGGGGATGAGAGAAATGAGGGAGTCAAATAGATGGAGATGGTGCCCAGAGACAGATAAAATAAAGGGATTGCTGATGATAAATTGAGTGGGAGTTAAATGCTGAACGGATGCTAATGGTAAGTGTGAATAGTTAAAAATGAGTTGGCTGTGCTGGGAGCAACCCATATACCTGGGGGTGTGGGGTGTGTAATGAACATGGAGGAAAGGTGTTTACACTTTGAAATTGTTAAATTCAATGTTGAGTCCTGAGGCTTGTTAAGTTAGCAAGGCAGAGGATGAAGTAATGTTCCTCTAAATAGCACTGAATTTCACTGGAGCACTGCAGCAGGCCTCAGAGATAAATGTTAGCATGAGAGCATGGTGGTGTGTTGAAGTGACAAGTAACTGGAAGCTCGCCGTCATTTTTACAGACGGAGTAGAAATATTCCCCAAAGTGGTCACCCAGTCCGAGTTTCGTCTTCCCTATGTATAGGAGACCACAATGTGAGCAGCGGATGCAGTAAACTAGATTGAATGATCTGCAAGTAAATCATTGCTTCACCTGGAAGGTTTGTCTGGGTCTTTCATCTGAGACAGGAAGAGGCAAACATGCAAGTTTAGCACCTTCTGTGACTGCACAGGAAGGTGCCGTGGAAGCGGGGAGGGAGGTGGAGGTGGTGTGAGGAGGTGTTGGAGTGGAAGTTATTGCAGAAAATCAAAGCTTAGTGTAGGTGGTAACATATTAGCATTGTTAAAGCTTGCCTGGCAGAAAACAGACAGCATGCATAAAGGAGCAGGAAAGTTGACGTTTCGGGTCGGGACCCTTCTTAATTTTTGAAGGGTCCTGACCCGAAACGTCAATTTTCCTGCTCCTGTAACGCTGCCTGGCCTGCTGTGCTCCTCCAGGTCCACACTGTGTTATCTCACTCCAGCATTGGCAGTTCTTACTATCTCTGAGCATGTATAAAGGAGCCTTTGTCATTGCCTGATTGGTAGGATGTGACAAGTGGAGTCCTGCAGGGTTCTGTGCTGGGGCCTCAATTTCTGATAGTGCAGGATAGTAAACACCCTCATGACAGATATGCAAGAACTTTCTGAACTGCATACTATAGTGTGGCAAGGATTTAACTAAAAAAAACACCAGATCCTAGGAACAACGTGTTGAATTAGAAGAGTTGCACTGATAATCAATAGAACAATATATTTTCGCAGGAAATAAGATTTTATTTCTGAAAAAAGAAACAAACCCCCTTCACTCTGAACCTGGCTGACTCCATTGCTGGGGTAGATATCCCTTAAATCCACACTATTCATGGAGCCAGACAGTTTCTATGATTATAGTCATGAACCACAGTCTGGATTTAGAAGTCTCGTGAAAACCAAGTTCAAATTATCTTACTAGTCACTCTCATTGCATTTCCATGCTAACTCATGCATCCACCTATTCCCTATAACACCTCCATGCCTCCATTCCAATGTCAATGCACTTTACCCTATATGTACTATACGTAATGAGGCTTGACTGAGATCCCACGCCTATAAAAGAATGAGAGTGGAAGCCTGCTGAACTCAGTTGAGAACTTTGCTTGTTTGACATCCTCGTGCTTATTAATAAGATGTTCTTTCTGAAATTTATTTTTGAAATGTCTTAGTGATAATTTGCACAGAAGAAAGAAATATGAAATATTTAGGTTCTGTTATTGATACTTTAATAGTCTGTTTGACTGACAATTCTATAGAGTTGAAGAAACAGCAGTTTCTCACAGAAGTATGAGTGGGTGTCTTTTTCTTATCATTTTTATACATGCCATCGTTCCTATCGGAGTCACTGGTTCTTGATATAATGTACATTAGGTGAACAAGAGTAAAAGGGTCATGAGTTGGCTTGAGGCATGGAGATAGAGCATATGGAATGTGTGTCAAAGAACCCAGGTACTGAGGAGACCTTCCAATGGGCCTGTTTCAGCACCTGAAGACCTCCAGTGGCTGTCTCTGATCTGCTTCATATAACCCCCTTCTCCAATCCCACACCTCCTCCAACTCCACACCCTCCCTTTCCAATCTCACACCCCTCTCCCCAGTCTCACACCCCTCTCCCCAATGCCACCGCAATGTGATATTTGGTTTTGAAGGGGCACTTTCTCCTAAGCCAGGAACATCCTTAACTCAAGCTACCCATCTCAAAGACAAGAATCTCTTCCATTGTGTCTGAAATGGTAGCATTGCGCAACCTTACTTCCTCATTGTAATGGAGGAAAAGATCAGAATGTCTACAAAATCTTTTTATGTTTTGCATTTGGTCACAGGTCTGCATACCAACTTACCAAAAGCTGAAAATCCCTCTTGTTTTACAATTTGTTGTAAATGGTAAAGACAGCTTCATCTTATTGGACCATGGGCGGCACTCTCATTAAAGAAAGACAACCAGTGGTGGCTTAACCTCAAGGTCACGAGGCTTCAGGAAAGGGGAGATGATTGAGAAGGGGAGTCCTTTGTGGTAACCTCAGCTGGTGCAGGAATTGAACCCACACAGTTGGCATGGCAAACCAATCATCCAGCCAGCTGAGTTAATTGACATTTTACTAGTTCTGATAGACAGGGTCCAAAGTCCAAACACATCGTGTAAGCATCACAGCTAAGAAAAGTCAAGTATAAGTTTCAGTGCAGCTGTATTACTAGGAAATCCATTTTGCCAATGTCAATTTTGGCAATGTTGAAAACGCAGCCCACTTTCAAAACCTTACAAACAACATTATGTTATTTCCCCTCTCTAAACTGTTTCTGAACTTTGGTAATCTCTTTTATCATTAAACTCCCCTATTTAAAGGTTATATGGCAATTTTGATTTCTGCAAGCAGTTGGCTTAACATTAAAAGAGCTATTAGCTAAGTTACAGGCAGCTTTTACATTTTACCGGCATAGAGCTATGCACATTGCATACAAAATAAAAGGCCCTGTGATGGAGTCAAGGAGCAATAGTATTTGTGGCACCACTGTTTCATATGTTTAAATCCAGGATCTGATGTAAGACATTTACACACAAAAGGATTGTAACATAAACCAAATGTATGCTTACTGCTTTGGAAATAGCATCAATCATTGTCCCTGAAAGAGCAGCAGCCATGCCAAATCGACCATTGTTCAGTATATTCATGGCGACTTTAAACCCGTTGCCAACTCCACCAAGTACATTTTCCGCTGGCACCTTCACATTGTCAAAATAGACCTCAGCTGTGTTAGAAGCCTTGATTCCCATCTTCTTTTCAGGAGGCCCACTGAATCAAAACAAAAAAAAACATTGTGTGAGGCACAGAGCGTCATCATGATGGATCAGGAAGTGAAGAAGATCCAAGCAGAACACAAAGAAGATTGGATGTTCCACATGTAATAATTACAGTGGCTCAGTGGTCAGCACTGCTGCCTCAGAGTGCCATGGACCTGGGTTCAATTCCACCATTTGGTGATGCTCAGTGTAGAGTTTGTAGGTTCTCCCACTGTCTGAGTGGGGTTCCTCCCACAGTCGAATAGATGTGCAGGTTAGCTGGACTAGCCGTGCTAACTTTCCCATAGTATCCAAGGATATGTGGGTTAGTCATGGGAAATGTAGGGTTATGCATGTGGGATGCTCTCTGGAGGGTTGGTGTGGATTTAATGGGCCAATTGGCCTGCTTCCACAGTGTAGGGATTAAATGATAAAATATGCACATTTTATTTCATTACCTTCCCCCAAAATCCGTCCTTACACTACCCATGGGAAGGCCAGCAAATAAAAGCGTACAAGATCTCGGCCAATTCTGTTTTGTGATTATGTCTGCACATTCAGGATTGGGTTAACTTAATATTCTTGCTTTTTCCATTCCAAATGGCAGGGATAGTCAGAGCCAATAGTCACATGTTGCTTTACAGAATGATAGAATGCTAATTTTGCCCATGATCCTCTGCACAATGTAGTTATCTATACACCAATTACCAAGGGTGCCAGGAATATCCAACATATCCACCAGGAAAGCAAATACAGGGAGAATGACAATTATGAATCAAGGAAATATGTGGGCACTTGTCCTCATAATTGGAAACAATTAACGGCACAGGGAGATCAAACTAAGAGAAGAAGGAAAGCATTATCTTCAAAAGTAAAAGCACAAGCCAGTACCTATTAAGTATCAAACAGGCTGAGAATGAAAAGCAGGAACTAATATTCTCGGATACAATATAAACTGAGAATCTCCACACAATCAGCTCAAAGAAATCTAAAAACGTCCTGTGCGTGTGACAATTTACTATAGGTCCAACAGAGCAGTTACCATAATTATCTAGCAATTGTAGTCCAAACCAACATTAAACTGAATGTGTGCTAACACCTGAGATTTTATAAAAAAAAGAGAACCAGCGAAAAATCAAAAAAGACAGTGATGTACTGAACAGTGGCACATTTAATAAATCTTGCATTCAACCAAAAACGATATATAGCAGCTTAAACATAGGAACAGGAGTATTTCATACAGCTATTTAAGTCTGATCCACCATTCAACACAAAATCATAGAAGTATTATGGCACAGAAAGAGGACATTTGGCCCATCATATCTTTTAGCCAAATAATACCCAATGTCCTCTTGAATGCCTCACACAATCATGACTGATTGAATACGTTAATGTTTTTCACTCATCATGTCCCTATAATTCTTTATGACACTGGTAATCAGAAATCTTTCAACTCTACCTTAAACATAGTGAAAGACTGAACCTCCATAGTCATCTGCAGTAGAGAATTCCAAAGGCTCGCAGTCATCTGAATTAAATAATTTCTCCTCATCCTCTTTATTTCTGAAATGTGTCCATTGGTTCTAGACTCTCCAACTACAGGGAGCATCCTATTTATATCCTACAGAGTCTTTTGTAGGTTTTTTGCAGGGAGGAAGTCTTGCTCTTGGGATTTGCCAGCCAATTTGTTCGGCCAGCAGCTCCAACTATGCTGGAAGTGACAAGAGTTCAGTGGTGGCTGCTACTGGAGCTGCAGGTCCACTGTGAGTTCAGCATGGAACCTAGACTGAGCTATGTATAGCGTGTTGGGTGGGAACCTGAGCAACCTTAGGTAGTTGGGGTGAGCGAGGTGCAGAGGATGGGCTGAGGACAGGTAGGGGTAGGTTCTTTTCTCTGCATTTCTTCTGCAGCTGTTGTGCAGTGAAAATGGGACCTCCTCAACCAGGGCTCTGTCATTGATCCAAGCATCCTTGAATGCATCCCACAGCATGCTACATGCCATGAGCTCAGCAACACCCAGTTCTTCATGAAATAGAGAAGGCCATCCGCCAGCTTAGGAAAAGCAAGCCTGCTGGAGCAGACAGTATCCCCGCTGAGGCATTGAAGTGTGGAGGCAAAGAGCTCCTGCTGCAGCTAAGTACCCTTGCCTGCCTTATCTGGAAGGAGGAGCGCATCCTGGGAGAGCTCCGAGATGCCACAGTCATGAGCATTTTCAAAAAAAGGGAACAAGTCTGACTGTGATAACCAGGGCGAATATCCCTGCTGTCAACCGTTAGAAAAGTCATCGCCAAGGTCCTCCTTGTCTCCTCCCTGGGGCTGAGGAATTCCTCCCAGAATCGCAGTATGGTTTTCAGCCTCGGAGGAGCATAAAGGACATGATTTTCACCATGCAACAGCTGCAGGAGAAATGCAGAGAAATGAACTACCCCTGTACATGGCCTTCTTATATCTTACAAAGGCCTTTGACACCGTCAACAGGTAGTAGCAGACAGGTGGGAAGGAAACAGGGGTGCTATCCTCAGGGCTTTCCCTCGATACTTTTTTTAATTCACTCGTGGACGTTGCTGACTGGCCTGCACTTATTGCAAAGGGCACTCTCTGAATGTAGCATTCTGCCTCAGCCGCTTCTCTAAAAAATAAAAATAATTGGCTGTCCATTCCTGCCTGGCTATCCCAGCCACCTATATCATCACATGGACGCTATTATTATTTGGGTTAATTGAGATTCCAACAAAGCTCTATTGTCCCTTAGTTATTGATAAATATACTTTGTGTATATATATATATATTATATATGTATAGTAGGTAGGTTATGAGCTTTGGCACCCACTGATCCTCTCTATAGTGCGAGTGAGCTTATGGTGAATGGGAAAGCTACACAAAAACCATCCCCCTAGCCCCCAATCCCCCCACAGTGAAATGTGCCTGACAAGGGCTTCTAATATCCAGCTCTCTATCTCTAAAAGAAGTAAGAAAGGATTTGAAGGAAAACCAACATCAATAGTCAAATAGATAGAGAAACAGATTGTATAAGCTCCCACAAGGTTTCAGAAGAACAAGTGGTGATCTAATAATATGAGATATTGCAAGCATTTTTGACAACAAATCAGAGATAATAATAAACTAGGAGAAAAGTAGATACTTAGCCAAAGAAGCACATCTTCAAAAACGCTTACCAGAAAATTGAGATTAAAAAATCTCAACATATTGTTTCACTTAACTGAGACACTCCTCCAAATTTTCTTTCCACAATAAATGCAGTGATTTTGTCCTTCTCTTTTCCAGTGTGTTTATCCTTGACAGTAGTTTTTGCAAACACAGTGAAGATTTCTGCTGTGCCCCCATTACTGAAAAAAATTCAAAAATAAATGACTGAACAAAGAATTAATTCTCTATGCGCTCAGTTCTCTTCTTTCTGCCTAAAAATGTGGCTACTAACAGCTCAAACTTTCGATGAGGAGCAATATCCAGTCAGGCAACTGGATTTTATGTTCCAGTACTCCTGTTGGATATTTGGCCTTAAAACATCCAAAACAAGAATTGAAATTCATGCTAAATCCAATGGATTAAGTAGCCTGAGTTTTCCTCTTTGGGATGGAGTTCAGTCAGAAATATGTCTGACATCCCACTGTGCCCACCCCAGCTTCAACCTTGTGTCAGAGCTGATAAGAGGCTCAATACTAGTAAACAGTGGGATTACTGTGGTCAAGATTAAAAATTAATCCCAGTTCCCTCTCTCGCAGCAACGAAACTCCACACAATCTATAATGGAGATAATCACACTATCTGAAGGTGCAATGAAATGCTTGTTGCACTGGAGTGAGGAGCCCACTGGTGGGTTTCACCCAAGAACAAGCCTACCAGTAGCTAAGTTGTTGGTGCATTTGGTGAAGAAGGAGACTGCTCTAAGATCTTCCTCTATTAATTTTGGTAGATACTGCTATTCTTCCAAACTTACCAACATCTGCCACATCTTCCAGGAAACAACAGAATTCTCAATTCATTTTATCCTTGAATCCCTGATCTTGATAATACAGTTGACACTCACCTAATCCAGAGCTTGCCTCCATTCAGAATGTAGTTTTCACCCTTCTCCACAGCAGTTGTTTTTATAGAGGCTGCATCAGATCCACTAGCTGTTTCAGTGAGACAGAAGGCAGCTATTGTTTTACCTACAAATGGATAAGCAAAAGAATAAGTAGGACAAAAAAGTTTTAGTGGCTTTGGCATCTATTTGGGACCTGGCTAAAAGCCAAATTAATAATTAAAAGTCATTTAGCGTTGAGCTTCCTTTCCTAAATCCCTGCAAGTCGAAGCCGATCACATAAATTCCCCCAAATGATATGAAACTCATACTCTCACACACAAAATTCACAGAAGGGTTAATTTGGAAACCATAAAATGTAACCTCTTTAGTGCTAAGGAGGGAAAGTAAAGGGGATTTCTTTTCTCTACATGCTTTCCTTACTTTTCTCTTAATTTACATTTCAGGAAGGAACACCAAGTTTAAAAAAAGCACCAAGTTATTGAATCATCAAATTAAAGGGATCCAGCTTTTTATTTTATAACCAAACAGTTCAGTGATGTTTTTTCACACTACTGGAGCAGGGTAGGATTTGAATAGAGGGTTACTAGCTCAGAGGTATGAACACTACTGCTACACCACAAGAGCCCTTAGAAACAGTTGAAGCTCTTAATCAATACTGGAACTGTTCTGGTTTACCCTTAAAGGGATCTGCATTTCTAATGTTGACAAAATGAAGCACAAAATCTGTGGTCATAAGGTTTTTGAGGGTTAACTCCTATGTCTTATAAAATTATGAATGAAACATAATGAGCCATGTCTAGAAGATACCTTTCAGAGTGTATATCACCTATGTAAAGTCATCCAGCCCTTAATATACTTTATTATTCATTCATTCATGGGATGGCTGGCAATGCCAGCAGTTCAGAGTCAACACATTGCTGTGGTTTTGGACCAGACCCGGTAAGGATGGCAGTTTCATTCCCTAAAGGACATCTGTGAACCTGATGGGTTTTTCCATTTAAAATTTAAAACCATTACGGACTGTTCCAGTGGCGGTACCACCGGTGGTGTATCTGCCAATGGGAGGCGGATCAATGCATCCACATTTGCTACTTTGCCTTCCGGAGAGTGTTCCAACTTGTAATTATACACACTTAGTATCACAGCCCACCGCTGAATTCAGCCTGAAGCTCTGGGCGGCACTGCCTTGTCCTCTTTAAGTAGACTTAGCAGGAGTATGTGGTCCATATAATTACAAATTTATATCTGCAAAGGTATTAGTAGACCTTCCTGACTCCAACTATGATCACCAGACTTCCTTCTCTATCTGGGTGTATTTACGCTCTGCATTAGCTGAAGTCCTGGATGCATATGCTATTGGGTGTTCCTCTCCATTGGTGAGAAGTCACATAACATCAGGCTGTAGTCCAACAGGATTATTTGAAATCACAAGCTTTCAGAGCACTGTTCTTTCATCAGGTGAAGTCAAGGTGACTTCACCTGACAAGGGAGCAGCGCTCCGAAAGCTTGTGATTTCAAATAAACCTGTTGGATTATAGCCTGGTGTCATGTGACTTCTGACCTTGTCCACCTTAGTCAAACCACCGGCACCTCCACATCATGGCCTCTCCATTGGGCCACCTGTGAGCTAATACTACACCGATGCAATCCGGGAAGGCATCGCATGTCAATACCAGCTCTTGCTTGGTATCATAGTGTGCCAACACCTTGGACATTATAGTTATTTCTTTGCTTCCCTGGAAGCTATGGCTTGGCTATGGGGCCATTTCCAAGGCTGACCCTTTAAGAATTGATACAAAAGTGGTACTATGGAGGCCAGGTTATGTATAAACTTTCCATAATAATTCACCAGCCCAAGGAAAGACCTGAGCTCCGATACTTACAGACACCTTTCATCACCCTCACTTTAGCTTCCAAAAGGTGTATTCCAGTCTTGTCAACTCTGTAACGCAGGTAGGTCACATAAGGTGCCTGGAACACACAGTTTTCTCTTCTAAGGAATTCATCACCCAGGGAGAAATATTTAAGCACTATATCCAAGTTCTCCAAGTGCTCTTTATTGGTCTTCCCTGTTATTAGCATGTCATCCAGATAAATGACGACGTGGGGAAGCCCTTGTAAAATGTTCTCCATTGTCAACTGGAAAAGAGCGCAGGCTGATAATACTCCAGGTGGCAGTCTTGTATATTGGTACAAATCCTTATGGATATTAACTGTGGCTTATTTCTGGAACTCCTCACCCACACGCAATTGCAGGTAGGCGTGCCTCATGTCCAGCTTCATTAAGGACAGACCCCCCTCTCGCCAATTCAAATCCTCTATGAGATGGATTGGGTATTTATCCAGCTGCAAAAAGTGGTTTACTATTTGTTAAATTTCCCACAAAGGCAAACTGACCCGTCAGGCTCACCAGTTGGTATGACAGATGCTGCCCATTCCGCAAACTGCTCTGATTTGATGATACCTTGGCTTTCCAGCCTCCTGATTTCTGCCTCTACTTTTGCCTGTAATGCAAAGGGCACTGAGCGGGCCTTGCAGAATCGTGGAATTGCTTCCTGGTCAACATGCAAGGTGGTCTTGGGTCCTTTGTTAATCCCTAGACCTTCCTGAAAGAATTCTGGGTATTTAATTAGGATTTCACTCAGGCAGCCACTTTCTAATCGAAAAATGTTGAGCTAATCCAGATGAATCTCTCTCAGCCAATTTCACCCCGTCAAGCTTGGGCCCAAGTCTTTTACTACAATAAGTGTAACTGAACCAACTGCTTCTTGTAAAAGACCAAAACCAAAGATGTATCCTTAATCTGTAAAGGTTGCCTGGTAGAAGTTCTCAGTCCAGCCAAGGTCTTGTACAAATTTAAGGGTTGGAGTCTAGAGCAAATTTTGATAAAAATGGGTTCTGCGATGACTGACACAGCCACACAGGTATCGACCTCCATCAGCACCAGATGACCATTAACCAGACGTTTACTTTGATTGGTTCTGATTTGGATGTTGATCAGCAATCTAACAGTTCCAAACCAGATGCAGTTGGACTTTCCAGGGTGTGTACTCTCCTAGATACCTGCCTACAAGTTATCTTACTCAATTTAGGTCTGATGGGACTCTTTTGCTGTCTCGAGTCCACATACTGGCAGCAACTACAATGGCTTGCCAGCATGGATCCTAAAGAAAATTTTAACAATTTGGCCAAGGCTTGGCTTTGTTTTGGGGTTTTGCTGTCGGCTGACCTAGAGTCCCTCTGTTCAGGATATGTCCTGAATGAGGCTATGCAATTGCTTTCACTCAAGTGGTGCAACCCAAGCTCAATCGGACTGGAAAGGTATCCACTTCCATCAGAATATCCTGAAACTCATTTCCTCTTCTTGTCACATTTTCCAATGTTAAAGCCAGTTGTTGCGCCTGTTTGAAGTCCAGTGGGCTTCAGCTAAAAGGCGGATTTGCATGGTTACATCATTAATCCCACATACCAATGGTCTCTCAGCATCTCATTCAGGGTAAATTCGAAGTCACATGCTCTCTGCTAGTCATCTTAACCAAGTTAAAAATCCCAATCCGGTTCACCTAGTTCTTGAATCGCTGAGTAAAACCAATAGCATTTCAGAATTAGAGGAGGCTTGGGTTCATAATATTCCTTAGCTAAATCCGTCAACTCTTCAAAGATTTTAGTATCTGGTGCCTCAGGAAAGGTTAGGCTCCTAATAACCGAAAAAGCTGCAGCTCCATAAGTTGTCAGGACAATTACTCGATGCTTTTCATCTGCCCCACGTCATTTTCCCGGAGACAATAATATGTTCTTTCAACATAATGGGCTCCGTCTTTGACAGTAGAATCGAACGAGTCAAGTTTCTCAAATAATGGCATGATGTCAGAATGCTTACCTCGAATCAAAGTGAATGAATTTCTTCAGAACTGTGTTTTACTTTTCTCGCCACTGAAATAACTCCTGGCATCCCATCACCAAGTCACCCTTTATTTACACGTGGAAAGTCCTTGACATTGATCCAGCTCCCTCACAGCCAGCTATCTGAGTGAACAGGATGTCTGACACTGCTGTCAGCCAAAGCTCCCTGATTGGACCAGATTAACAGCCCCAATCAAGGAACTCAAATTCTACGAGGTCCATCTGGCTGACTTTGTTATAATCACTACAGTGTGTCTTTTTGCTTCGAGATGGCATCAGCAGAGTAGCAGCCTTTGTGCCCGGGTTCTGGGCCCGGGGCTCGTCCACTTCCATCTGCCTTTCTTTTTCTCTTTTTCTTCCTTTTATATTTGCTTTATCTTTGTTTCTCTTCCTTTTTTCAGTGACATTAGTCCCCTTCCTGGGAGTGTCAGCAGCAGCAGGTTCCTTTGCTGAAATGGCATTCCCAGAAGGCAGTAACATAAGCCAGAGCAAGGCACCAGCTGTGTGGTGGGCCCAGCGACATATTTACACCCAGCACGGACTCATACAACGACAACATTGGTGGAGGAAGGATGGTGCTGGAGAATGGCATCACAGTGCCGGTGGCAGCGGTGCAGCTCCAGGCCATGTCTGGGCCCAGGTACCTGTCAGCGAAGGCAGTGGCATTCCAGCTGCGGCAGCATTGCGGGGACTTGGGATATGTGCGTGTTTGCAGACTGAGGGATGGAATTTGTGCCTAGTTTCTCAAGCAGCAAAGACTCATAGCAGAGGCAGGGGAGTGATCTGGATGTTTCCTTTGGGCCTTTTCTTTTACTTATGATTCTGTGTTTAATTATGTCTTCTATATACTAAGATGGCACCTGAGAATGGTGACTTTGTACGCTTTTCCTGTATTCCTGTACTTGAGTAGACATGACAATAAAACCTAAATCTAAATCTAAATCTGGATTAGCAGTCCGGTGTTAATACTGGTCTGCCCTTTCCCTCCCCCTCTTTCTCCCCCCCTTAAAATGAATAGACTTGAGTTAATAGCCTCAACCAATTTATTTCTACAAATGTCATAAATAATATATACATTTGACAAGAGGACATAAAAACACAATGCCTACTCATAAATAATAAATTTCCTATACCCTGAAGCTCTGAATGAAGTCTCACCCACCTGATGCAAGGTCAGGCAAATATTTCTTCTTCTGTTCATCAGTGCCAAACAATAAAATTCCTTTAAAGCCAATAGATTGATGAGCCCCAAGAGTAATGCCCACTCCAAGGTCATGATGACCAACAATCTCCACCAGTCTAGCATACTATAACAGTGTAGAGTTGAAGAATGAATGTTAAGCACAACAGAATGCAAAACACACAAACATTTGCAGTTCATCATGATATGTAAAGCAATCAAACAAAAATCAAATTTTATTCTAAGAGCATGAAGATCCAATTCATTTCCTAAGGAGGCAGCAAGTTGGTAAAGTGGTAAATTTTCTTTCTGCTTTGGCCAGAAAGAACAACTGAATTGTTTTCTTGTAAAAACAAGTCTGTACGCTTTGAGAACCAAAAAGTTTAAAAATAAGAGGCCTCGCATTTAATTGGTGATGATGAGGAATTTTGTTGCTGAGTCATTGGTCTTTGGAATTCTCTCCATTAGAAAGCAGTGGAGGCAGTGTCATTGAATATATTCAAGGACAAGTTCAACAGGTTTTTGATTTATAAGGAATCAATCGGAAAAGTGGAAGTCACAATCGGATTAGCCATAATCTTATTGAAACGAAAACAGAAACTGCTGGACAAACTCAGCAGGTCTGGCAGCATTTGTGGACAGAATGCAGAGTTAATGTTTTGAATCCAGTCACCTGAAGGAAGGAATTTTATTGTTTGACACTGATGAACAAACAAAGGGTCATTGTATGGAAAACATTAATTCTGCTTTCTAACCACGGATGCTGCCAGACCTGCTGAGTTTCTCCAGCAATTTCTGTTTCTGTTTCAGATCTTCAAAATCTGCAACTTTTTTGCTTTATGTTAATCTTATTGAATGCTGGAACAAACTCATTGGGCTAAATTGCTAACTCTTGCACCTCTCTTTTTGATCTTATTCGTGTCTTGTCTTTATTTGCAAATCAGATACCAAAGGAGCCCCATGACAATTCCATCCAAATGGCAAGATACCAAAACAGTGAGAAAAAACTTCAGTGATGCAGAATTTCAAGTCCTCATGGACAAGATTTGGCTAAGGACTATTGGTTTCTTGGGTCTTCAGTTAAGAAATCTGGCAAAGTATCTTTTCTAAGTTACGTTCAGAAACGTAGCAATGGCACTCAGGAGCACCTTACCATAACTAAGAGGAGCAGGGGTAGGTGGTTCGGCCCCTCAAGCCTGCCTGCCATTTGACAAGATCGTGGCTGATCTGCCCTAGGCCACAAATCCTCTTTTGTGTCAGCTCAGCATAGCTGTCAACTTCCTGATATTTCAAAAATCTATCGACCTCCTCTTTAAAAACTTTCAGTGATCTAGCTTCTACAGCTCTCTGAGGTAAAAATTCAAGACATTTACTATCTTCTGGGGGAAGAAATTCCTTCACATCTCAGTTTTAAATAACTGCCTTCTTATTCTGTAACTACGTCCCGTAGTTTGAAATTCTCCCAGTAGTGGAAATATCTTCTCAATACCTAGAATCTTGCATATTTCAACACGATCACCCCTCATTCTTCTAAACTGTAATTAATAAAGAACAAATCTGTTTAGCCATTCTTGATAAGTCAACTGCTTCATCCCAGGAATTAGCCTGAAAATCTCTTTGAACAGTCCAAAGTGTCCGAACACTTTTTTTTAAACACAAGGACCAAAACCAATATCCAGGTGCATCTTCATTCACACACACTGTACAATTGTAACAAGGCTTCCCTGTTTTTAAACTCCAACACCCTAGCAATAAAAACTGAAATTCTATTTGCCTTAAATTAATTGCTACAATTGCATACTAATGTTTTGTGTTTCATGCTGCCTAAATCCCATGCACTGCACTTCTTTGGCATCTCTCCCATTTAAATAATAATCTGTCTTCGGATTCTTTCTACCAAAGTGCAAGGCCTCACACCTTCCTACATTAAACTTCATCTGCTCCACTAACTCAACATTGCAAATTCCTTATATCCTCAATACAACATGCCCTCCCACCTATTTTGGTATCATCAGCAAATTTGGATATATTCCACTTGCCCCATTCTCTTCGTCATTCATATAGATATTAAATAATTAATGCCCAAGGACTGATCCTTGAGACACTCTATTAGATAGTCTTTCCAACTCGAAAAAGACCCAATAATCCTAACTCTCTGTCTACTGTGTATTAACCAATCTCAATCCATAACCAAAATGAAATAACTCCACAAAGGCCAGTATCCCATCACCAAGTCACCTCTTATTTACATATGAACACTCATTGGCTGTAGTACTGTCTCATATAGAGTCAGGCACCAGAGTCAGTATCTCTTATGTTCCCTCCTTTTATATGTCAGCCAGGGCTCTCTGATTGGACCAGATGAACAACTCCAATCAAGGAACTCAGATTCTATGAAGTCCACTTGGTTGACGTCATTACAATCACCATAACTAATATTGTGTACTCATATGCTGTGCAATAACCTTTTAGGTGGCACCTTATTGAATGCCTTCTGAAAATCTAAACACACTAGATCTGCTCATTCCCCTTTATCAACTCTGCTTATTGTAGCAACAAAGAACTGTAGAAAACGTGCTAAATATGATTCCCGTTCATAAAACCATGTTTACTCTGTTTGATTGCCAGTCTCATCTTCCAAAGGTTTCACACTTATTTTAGCTACTCTTTTTTTTATTTTTGGATAGTTTGCCAGTATCTCAAACCAACTCCTTTTGATCATTGCTGAAAAAGAGACTTCTTGCCAAAGCTTTTCATGGGGCACTCATCAGGACAGATACAAGAATGCCAAAATTCAAACAATCACAACAAATTATATTATGAAAGAAAATGGTGTCCATTGGTTAGAAAGATGATTCTGATTGGCTGAGACTTTGCCACAGGAAAAATAATGGGTGCTATAGTCTCCTCAAACCCCCGGGTAATTGAAAAATGGCACTAGCGTTGAATGTGTTCTCTTGGTTTGCACAGAAGACACTCCTGATGTATGAATGCATGTCATTTCCAGTAAGTATAAATGAGCCATGATTTGAGCTTGACTGATTATCTTAAACTGGTTGTTAGCATGGCTATTGCACACTCAGGATTGTTCATAACATCATAAAATCACATCTAACAGTAGATGTTTTGTTTTGGGCTATGTAAGTGTAGGCTGTTGGAATATGATCTCTCTCTGTCTATTGCAACAAACTAAAAGGAGCATGCTGTTTGACCTAATCAGTCAATTGTTGGAACATACAGCCTACATACCTGGTAATGGACCAGTACAGAAATTCAAATTTCCTGTTGAAGGTGGGAATAAAAAATAAATCTGGACCAGCTCCTTTTTTACGCTGGCACTCCAAGCTGACCCCTTTTTTTTTGTTAAGTGGATTTACAAGAAATCAAGAAGGACAGCTGAAGGCCATTTTGTCCATTGTAACTATGCTGGCTCTTTGAAGGAGCAACTTGTCTTGTATCACATCCTGATCCATTCCCTATAAACCTGCACATTCTACAGATTTCACTTGCTCTCTAATATTTCATCGGTAACCTTTGCATGAAACTTCTCTCCAAAGCCTAATTTGAAGTAATTCCTTATAACTTCATGCTCACCTAAGACTTGAAGCTTCCACCACATACACTTGTACTCAATCAGCTGTCTGCTACCAGCCGGGAGAATTCTTCACTGGAGTTCCGAAGAATAAGGAGGGGGAATCTCATAGAAACTGATAAAATTCTAACCAGACTAGGAAGGATGAATGCAAGATATTTTACCCAATGTCTGGGGAGGCCAGAACAAGGCGTCACAGATTAAGGACACAGGTTAGGCTATTTAGGACTAAGACGAGGAGAAATTTCTTCATTCAAAGAGAAGTGATCCCATGGAATTCTCTGCCACAGAAAATGGTTGAGGCCAAAATATCGAATGTCTTCAAGAAGAAATTAGTTCTTGGGGCTAAAAGGTATGGGTATAAAGTGAGAACAGGATACTGAGTTGGATGATCATACCGAACGATGGAGCAGGCTCAAATACCATATTATAGAATCCCTGCGAAATGGAAGGAGGCCATTTGGCCCATTGAGTCTGCATCAACCCTCTAAATAGCATCCCAACCAAAGGCAGCCCCCTTACCTTATCCCCATGACCCCACAAATGGGGGGGATAAACCCATGCTATTCTATTGTAACCTTTACAGTGGGTAAGGTTAACATAGGGCAGTGCTGAGCAACATAGAACATAGAACATATAAAGAATATAGAACAGTACAGCTAGTACAGGCCCTTCGGCCCAATGTTGTGCCGACTCATTATCCTACTCTAAGAACAAACTAACCTGCATACCCTTCATTTTACTATCATCCACGTACCTATCCAAGAGTCACGTGACATGACCTGCCCCTCACAAAGCCACGCTAACTATTTCTAATCAAACTATGCTTTTCCAAATAATCATAAATACTATGTCTCAGAATCCTCTCCACTAATTTAATATCCAGTTCATTAACTGTCCAAAGTAAAAATAAACACTCTAAAAAAAATTCTTGTGGGCCCAAGATGTGAGCAAGAATTTTCAACGTTGTGATGCCTTTATAAGGAACAAATGTGCCAGGCTGAACCGATTGTAGCAAGCTACTATAAGTACTCATTTTTCTGACCATAGGTTATACTGAGTTTTGTGTGGGGGGAGGGGGTGTGGTGTTCCAACATCTCACAGGAATCTTAATAGCTTAAAACCATCCAATCATGTTCATCTGATTTGCCCATTTAAGTTGAAAGAATGCATGGAGAAAACAGTCCCATTACAGGACCAGGAACCTCAGCTGACACATGATGGAGTGATATTGATTATGCCCTTTCATTCATGATCCTGAAAACAGCAGGTACCTACAACTCACCCTGTCTTACCACAACAAGCAAGGGAAATTCAAGGCTTTAGCAATAACACGGAAAGATGATACAATGCAATTCAAATTCAGTTTTAAAAGTGTATCCTTATACACTTAATTTTGAGTTATGCATTAACTCCTTCCACCTTTTTTTATATTTTTTATAAAAGAGTGTAAATGGCTTATGATAAAAACAACATTATTCTTATCTACTCTGATCCTGTTAAAGAGAAGAGATTTAAGGATTTACTTCAAGCACCCCTCATATTACACATTGGTATAGTTATTCATGCCTAAATGTAAATACTGAGAAAGAGCAGATATAGATGAGGCCCTTACCTGAGTATTGGTGAGTCCCAAACCCCCAAGATCAACAGGAACTTGCAAACCAAAAGCTCCCATTTCCTTTAAACCTTCCATGGTCTTATCCTCTACCTTCCCCAGTCTATCATTTTCAGCAGCATTGTTGACCTCCTAGAACAAAAATGCAGTAATTACAGCTTAGCATCATACCGAGTAACTTTCCTGTTCAATTTCTCATGGCATATTTTCTGTGGGTAATGTGTGTTGCTTGACAGCTAGTGTGGAACCGGCTTTCAATTAAGGAAACAGCAGAGTGGTGCTGATCCCCTTGCCCACCATCCACAGATGCACACTTCCAATTAAGGTTTTGAGAAAAGGATTAGAAATGGAAATGTATTTTTACCTTCCTAATCAAACAGCACAGCAATCAAGCTGTAGCATCTCAACTGCCATGGAAATAGCACAAATCAGGATCAAATAAAACACAATGAATGCAATTCCTGAGTATGAGCGAAATATTTTTTCTGAACCTCAATGTTATAACAAGCCTTCAGAACAGTCACCCAATATTCACAGTAATAAAACTAAGATAAAAGAAGGAAATCAGCATGACATTACTTGCCAGGAAAAACTTGGAGACTGGGTCCACTAGCTCCTTAAGAAACTGTGCCTGCTCATTATTTAGAACTGCGTGAAAGAACAACACAGAATCCATATTTAAGTTGAATTCTCAAATAAAGAAAATATCACAATTCAAAAATAAATCTCTTACAGGTCAGATATCTCTGCATCTGCAAAATGGGCTGCAGCATTGTACAAAATAAAAACCAAAAGAACTGCAGATGCTGTAAATCAGGAACAAAAACAAAGTTGCTGGAAAAGCTCAGCAGATCTGGCAGCATCTGTGGAGGAGAAAACAGAGTTAACGTTTTGGGTCTGGTGACCCTTCCTCAGAACGGTTGCAGCATTGCACAGTTGGATTGAAAGGAATAATGAAGGCCTCTAAGAGTTACATTGTGATAATTGCCATTTGCATGGTAAACGATACAAGGTTAAGGCTACAAATATCGCGCAATTGGAAGCATATAAAAGTGGAAAATCAGTGAGTGCTTCTTGCACCTTACTATATGAAGGTGGCTGTTGGGCAGGCTTTCAGCCTAGACATGAGCAACTTGAAGAGTGTCCAGAAGGTAGGTTAACTATGTAAAGACCTCAAATGAAAAACATATATCTCATTCCTGATATTTCTTCACATCAGTACTTTCATGCCAACCTAACTTGCCAGCTGCATTAGCTTTACTAAGGTTCAGAAGGAGGAAAAGAAGGGATGAACAATGCCAAATTGGGCAATTCAGAAATTCAGCATGTCCATAAAGACACTTACCAATTTTTATAGATGCATCATAGAAAGCATTCTATCTGGATGCATCATGCCTTGGTATGGCAACTGCTCTGCCCTGAACTGTAAGAAACTACAGAGAGTTGTGAACATAGCCTAGATCAACAAGCAAACCAACCTTCCATCCATTGACTCCATCTGTATTTCTTGCTGCTTCAGAAAGGCAACTGACATCATCAAAAACCTTCCCCACTCCAGTTATAATCTCTTCCAACCTCTTTGTCAGGCAGAAGATACAAAAGCTTAAACACACAAACCAACAGATTCAAGAACAGCTTCTTCCCCGCTGTTATTAAACTTCTGAATGGACCTCTCACATTTTAAGTTTAAAGTCAATCTCGCTGTTTGTGCACCTTTTCTGCAGCTGCGATATTGTGGTCTTCGTTCTGTTCTATTACCCTACTGCATTTTGTATCGTATGATCTGCATGCAAAACAACACTTTTCACTGTACCTAAGTACATGTGACAATAATAAATCAAATCAAATCAAATCAAATCAAAAGAAAACAGAGACACAAGGCTGGGAGGGCTGCAGCTGTGGATGAACAAGCAATGCCTGAAGCAGGAAGCTAGGATCTTAAGAATCACCCAGCAGTGTACCCAGAGAGAGTGGATTGAAGGCATTGCAGCTGTCTGCAGATGGAGGAAACACAGTGCTGGAGGCTCTTTGCAATAAGGACAAGGACACCTGCATCTGCCACTTCCAGCAGTCTGATTGCTAACTGTGTTAAAGTGCTACATCTGTGGTGCTGAAGATCACAGCAGTACTGAACTTCCCAGCCAGTGACAACTCCCAAATAGCTGACAAGTGTATATTTGAGTCAACTGATACCTTTTACAGAAAACAAATACAGTTTTACCAGTTTCTTGTACAAGTTATGCATAATGTCCTTCCTTTTACATTCAATGATAACATTTTATTAGCTTTGTTTTTTTTTAAATTCATTTACAGGGCATGAACACTGCTGGCTGGCCAGCATTTTTATTGCCCTTGAGAAGGTGGTGGTGAGATGCCTTCTTAAACCACTACAGTCCACATATTGTAGGTTGACCCACCCACAATGCCCTTTCGGAGGGAATATCAGGATTTTGACATAGTGACAGTGAGGGAATGATGATGAGTGACTTGGAGGGGAACTTCAAGGTGTGGTGTTGCATTGTATCTGATGCCCTTGTCCTTCTAGATGGAAGTGATCATGGGTTTGGAACGTGTAGTCTGGGGACTTTGGTGAATTTCTGCAGTGCATCTTGTAAATAGAGCACACCGCTGCTACTGAGCATAGGTGGTGAAGAGAGTGGATGCTTGTGGCTGTGTTGCCAATCAAACGGGCTGCTTTGTCCTTGATGGTATCAAGCTTCTTGAGTGTTGTTGGAGCTGCACTTATCCAGGCAAGTGGGGAGTCTTCCCGACTTGTGCCTTGTAAATGTTGGCCAGGCTTTGGGGAGTCAAGAGGTAAGTGACTCACCACACCATTCCTAGCCTCTGCCCTGCTCTTGTAGCCACTGTGTTAATATGGTGAGTCTAGTCGAGTTTCTGGCAATGATAACCCCCAGGATGTTTTATAGTAGGGGATTCAGTGATGCCAACACCATTGAATGTCAAGGGCAGCAATTAGATTGTCTCTTATTGGAAATGGTCATAGCCTGGCATTTGTGTGGCATGAATGTTACTTGCCACTTGTCAACCCAAGCCTGGATATTGTCCAGAACTTGTTGCATTTGAACACAGACTGAATCAGTATCTGAGAATTTGCAGATGGTGCTGAGCATTATGCAATCATCAGCAATCACCTACATTTCTGACCTAATGATGGAGGGAAGTTCATTGATGAAGCAGCTGATGGTTGGGCCTAGGATGCTATCATGTGGAACTCCTGCAGAGGTGTCCTGGAGCTGAGATATCTGACCTCCAACAACTAAGTATAACTCTAAGCAGTGGACAGTTTTCCCCCGATACTCAATGATTCCAGTTTTGCTAAGGCTCCTTGATGCCACACTCAGTCGAACGCAGCCTTGATGTCAAGGGCTGTCACTCTCACCTCACCTCTGGAATTCAGCTCCTTTGTCCACATATGAACCAAGGCTGTAATAAGGGTCAGGAGTTGAGTGACCATGGCAGAACCCAAACTGGGCATCACTGAGCAGGTTAGTGCTGAGCAGGTGCTACTTGATAGCAATGTTGATGACACATTCCATCACTTCACTAATGATTGAGAGTAGACTGATGGGGCAGTAATTGGCCAGGTTGGATTTGTCCTGCTTTTTGTGTGCAGGACATTCCTGGACAATGGTCCCCAGTGTCAGGAAGATGTCAGTGTTGTAACTGTACTGGAACAACTCATTTAGGAAGGGGATATTTATGGAGCGTCCCCCTCCAGTCAGTTGTTTAATTGTCCACCACCATTCACAACTGGATGTGGCAGGTCTACAAAGTTTAGATCTGATCCATTGGTTGTGGAATCACTTAGCTTTGTCTGTCACTTGCTGCTTATGCTGTTTGGGGTGTGAGTTGTCCTGTTTCTGGATTATTAGTCTAGTGACAATACCATGAGAACATTGCCCCCCGCTGTTGTTACTTACAGCACCTGCACATTAACTTTCTGTGTTTCATGATCGCTTCGCAACTCAGAGCTCTGCAATATTTCACTGTTTGTTCTTCCTGCCAAAATGAACAATTCCATATTTTCTCACACTGTTTTCCATTTGCTATATCTTTGTCTATGTATATTTTTTGTGGTCTCCTCTGTCCTCTTCACAACTTACTTTCCTATCTATCGCTGTGTAAGCAACTAATTTAACTATACCTTCCATCCCTTCATATGAGGCATTTAAGTGAATTAAAAACAGCTGACATCTCAGCATCAACCCCTGTGACATTTGGCACAATACTTCTTGCCAACCTGAAAATGACCCAATAATGCCTACTCTCTGCTTCTTGTTAGCCAGCCAATCTTGTATCCATGCCATACCCTTTCCCTACACCATGAGCTTTTATTTTCTGCAATAATCCATGATATGGCATCTTATCAAATGCCTTCACCAGTTCCCCTTTATCCATAGCACACGTCACCTCCTCAAAGAACTCCAACAGAGTCAGCCCACAGTTCCAACAATTTGGTCAGTACCATTTTCCTCATGATTGTGATTTTCAGGCGTTCCTCACTCCCTTCTATTTCTTGATTTATTGCTAAATCTGGGATGTTTCTTGTATCCTCTAGGGTGAAGATTGATGCAAAATATCTCTTTAATTATTATGCCTTCTTATTTTTCCATGTTATTAACTCTCCACTTTCACTTCCTGCAGCACCAGCATGCACTTTGTTAACTCCTGGGATTTAGGAAGACTCCACAACCCTTCGTTCCATTCTGCACATGATCTCTGACACCTCTGCCTGATATTCCCCTGCTTGCCTGTACATCTCTGTCAGTTCCTTAATGACCAATCCAGAGCCTCACCACTTGCACTGGAGTCAGCAGGGGCCTGGTCTACCTGATCGTCTGAGTTTCAGAGATCTCAGCCATTTCCATTTCCTTGAATTATTCTCCTGCATTGAAGACTTTTGTATAGGTTCATACAAATGAAAGAACACATTAAATAGGAGCAGGTACAAGTCAATTGACTCCCGGAGCCTGTTCCACCATTCAACAAGATCATGGCTGACTGGTTGTTTCTCAAATTCCACCTTCTCATCTACACCCATTAAATTTGATTCCATTTTTTCTGCCTTATAAGAATCTATCAACGTTTGCCTTAAAAAGATTCAGTGGTCTCACTTCCACTGCATTCTGAGGCAGGAGGTTGGAAAACCACGCAACTGTTTGGAATGGGTGGAGGCTGGCATAATTACAACGTGTGAAAGGCATCTGGATGGGTACATGAAAAGAAAGGTTTAGAGGGATATGGACCAAATGCTGGCAAATGGGAATGATTAATTTAGGACAGCTGGTCGGTGTGGACAATTTGGACCAAAGGGTCTGTTTCCATACTGTATAACTCTATGGCTCTATGACTCTCACAGAAGATAATTATCTCCATCACTGTCCTAATAGGGCCACCACTAATTTTAAAACAATGCCCCTTGGTTTTGGACTAAGAAACAAGAGGAAACATCCTTTCCACTTCCACCTTTTCAAGGCTATTCAGGGTCTTTTATATTTCAATCAAGTCACCATACACTCGTCTGAACTCAAGTGAAAACAAGTGCAGCACGTCCAACCTATCCTCATAAGACAACAGCACATCAGCTATCAATCTGATAAACATCTTCTGAACTGCCTCCAAAACAT